CTCCTGAGTGCTTAGATTAAAGATGTGTGCCACACATATATATCTGTATTAACACAAGTGTGGAATATGTGGTGTGTGCAAGTCAGCTAAAAATGATTTTTGTTCTATGTTTGAAAAGGTAAAAGGCATCTGTTAATTTTGTAAGTCCATTTGGATTGTATAACCAAACTTGTATCCATGCCATATGAAAGGATGGCATGTAATAATAAGCCATGAGAACTTTGTAGCCAATAGGATTTACCATGTCTCATTCAGTCTCATAACTGTTCCCATGTCAAGGGATCAGCATATATGTTACCTGTCTTGTAGTTTCTCTAGGTTTATTTCTTTATGTCTGTAGCCAAGATTTTTCAGGGGGTCTCCTCCTATCAAATCTGGCCTCTATTAATTTGGAAGGAATCTATAACCTTTCATTTCCTGTGGAAACAAAAACATAGCCTCTCTCACAACACAATACATTTTCTGAATTCCACTTTAAAGTCAAGACATCCCTAAATATTTAATTCAGCAGTTCCTTTTACAATCCAATGTTTTTCAGCAGCTGTCATTTGTTCATCTGCATTCAAAAAATTCAAAGTCAATAAAACACCATATAGGATCCCTGTGTATTTTCCATTTTTATATGGCTTATTCTTTTTATATTACTTTATTCTTTCCCTAAAGGCTTTAGTTTTTAAAGTATTTATTTTTTACTATGATTATCTATACCCATTTTCTTTTCTTTCTTATGCACCTATGCACACTGTAATCTGTTTAAATTTTTTTTTCCATTCTGGATCTGTTTTGCTGTGCACCTGTAATGTTCTCTGACCACATGAGCCAAACCTTCCACTGCTAAGCAGCAGGCCCTCCACCCTGAGGCCCTGGTGGTTGGTTCTGCCTTCTTCTTGGGTCTCTGAGAGCCAAGCCTTGAACCCATGAGCCTGGCCAACAGCTGCATTTAACTGGGAGTTGTGTTTAACCGAGAGCTGTATTTAACTACCCCAGCTCTAGGAAGTTGATGCCCACATGTGGCAGGCATTTTTTACTTAGTTTGCTGTTTCTACTTAGCATGCTCAAGTGTTCTGCTACATAGCAGCACCTAATAAAGAAACCATATCCATTTTTTTTCGTTTTTTTTTTTTTCTTCCAGCTTTTTCAGGTCCTATGTGGAAATTCAGGCCCCATGTTGAGCACCATATGTAACAAGTCTCTCTCTGTCCCACCAGCCAGCCCCCAAATAATGACCAGAAACTTATTATTAATTATGAATGCTCAGCCTTAGCTTAGGCTTATCCCACTAACTCTTATAACTTAAATTCAACCATTTATATGAAACATGAAAAATAAAAGACCCAGAGACAGATATTGGGGTTCAAGCTTCAAGCTGAAGATCAGAAAAGCAAAGCAGCCAGCCTCTAATCTTACTTCTACCTCAGACAGAAAAGCCATCCTGGCTCTGCCAAACCTCAGACTGAAATCCCAGACTGCTATGCTCTCCTCAGCATGGCTGGAGAATGCTGAGACTGACTACTGAAGACCTGCTCCTATCTTTTATATCTCTCTAGTGCTGGGCTTAAAGATGTGAGCTCTGTTATCCTTTTAACCTGACTCAATCTTGTGCAGTCCTGGGTGGCCTTTAACTCAGAGAGCTCCATCTGCCTTTGTCTCCTGAGTGCTGGGATTAAAGGTGTGTGCCTAGCTTCTATAGCTAACTGCTGCTTTGCTATTTTGATCTCTAGTGGCTTTAAAAAATTATAAATAAGTTATCACCCATTTAAATTGATTTATGTTTTTGCTCATCCTGCTTCCACTGTTTGTCTTGCTTCTCCTGAGCACCTAGATTCCTCCTCCTCTTTCTATGCCTGGATGTCCTGCCTATATCCCCTGCCTAGCTATTGACCATTCAGCTCTTTATTAAACCAATCAATAAATCTTCACACAGTGTACAAATATCCCACAACAATTTAGGAGCTCAAAGTCAGCCTCAGCTAATTAGGAATAGATCCTAACTACACAAAACAAACAACAAAAACAAACAAAAAAACTTCCCTGTCTTCTCACTTCTAAATATCCAGATTCTGTGGGTATCCTTGTCTCTCAGTTGTTTGTAAGCATTAACTTGTACCACTAGCTGGGCTGGAGAGTTGGCTCAGTGGTTGAGAATACTAGCTGGTCTTCCAGAGGTCTTGAATTCGATTCCCAGCAACCAGATGATGGCTCATAACCATCTCTAATGAGATTTGGTGCCCTCTTCTGATCTGCAGGGATACATGCAGACAGAATACTATATACATAATAAATAAATGTATCTTTAAAAAAAATGTACCACTAGCTCAAACTCACCTGTCTGGGGAAAGCTCATGAAAGACTAAGAAAAAGAATATGAGACGAACTTTCTTCCCTTTAACACTCTTCTCCTCCAAGAAGCCATTCCAGCACGGCTTTAATCCCAACATTCAGGAGGCAGAGGCAGACAGATCTTTGTGAGCTCCAGGACAGCCAGGGCTACACAGAGAAACCCTGTCACAAAACAGAACAAAATAAAAAAGAAGCCTTTCCAGATGGATCCACCTTTCTGCCTATTCCCTTCTACCTGGCCTTATGGAGCCTTCTCACATCTGTGACACAAATGCAGCTCCAAATCACCTGGATGCCAGTGACTCAATACATATTAATAATTTGTTGAAGCAATTTCATTCCACAGATGTTTACTGAACACAAGTGTATGCTCAGACCTGCCTGTGCCAGGCCCAGTGGGTGGACACAGAGATGAATCAGACACAACCTCAAAGGACTTAACAGTTGGTAGGGGAGACAGACATTAGACACAGATACAATTTACTAGAACTCAAAACAGGATGACCTAAGTGATATTAAAGAACTATGAGCAATATGCTATATGCATAAACCTCAATTACTTAATTATTATTCTCAAGAATGCATCACAGAAGGTCAGAGCTGAAGGGTATCATCTACTTCAACCCCTTGTTCTCCAGTGGGGAAGCCTAAGATTCAGAAATAAGTAAGGATGTGGCATAAATTCTTTATGACTGGCTGAGTCTAGTCTTCAAGATCATCTGAAACCCAGTTCTAGGATTTTTCCTCCTCTTTTGGTAGCTTCAAATCCAGTAGTCCCATATTCCATCAAACAGGTGTCCAGGAAAGCGCTCCCTCCTGGTCTAAGGATCAACAAACCCAAGACACTGAGTGCTCAGGAGGCAGAGGATGATTCCAGGCTGCCCACCCAGTTTTTCAATCTACTGTTCTGAATGCTCTTACCACCCTGCTCCACCACTATGCTCCTATGCCCTGCAATTGACTCTAAAATACACAAGCCATTGTTTATGCTGTTGGGGTACAGCACATGATAAGCAAACAATCTACCACTACCACTGAGAAATAGTTGAATTTTCAAGTATGTTTTCATTTTGTTCTGTTTTTGGAAACAGGGTTTCATGTGTAGCCTTAGCTGTCCTAGAACTGATTCTGTAGACCAGGCTGACCTCAAACTCACAGAGATCCACCTGCCTCTGCCTCCCAACTGTTGGGATTAAAGGTATGTGTCACCACACCTGACTAGGACTTTTTCTTTTAAGATCTCATATAGCCCAGGCTGGACTCGAACTTCTGAACTTCCTGTCTCTACCTCATGAATGCTAAGATTATAAGCGTGTGCTACCACATCTGGCTTGGAACATATCATTATCAACGGCTTCATTGAAGCCACCTGAATGTGAGGTACACTTCAGGACCCTGCTATTTCTAGGACTCACAAGCCTCTTCCCATGCATCAGTTTTGCCCTCCCTTGATGTCTTTTATTCTCCTTTCCCCACAGGGAGGAATTTGTATTAAAAACCAAAGAAAAGGAAGAAGGTCCAAAAGCAATCAGAACAAGTTTCTTGAAGATCTCACAACATGCTTTCATTTACTCAGTCACTGACTAGCCATTCTGAATCTGATTGTCTTAACTTCACTTTCTATACAGTAGCACAGGCACCTACTCTGTTATTTTCACATCTTCAGGGCGAATTTTTGTTGATTTTACAAAAAAAAAAAAAAAGAGAGAGAGAGAGAGAGAAAAGAATTGATAGTTGGAAAGGTTAAACTATTGATTCTCTTTATTTCGAAGTCCTTGTAAGACCGGGTGTCCATCTCATACTGTTTCCACCGCACCCAGCGGAGCTCTGCACGTGGTAGGGCACCCAGAAAGTTGTTAAAAAGAACCAAGAGCGTGGATTCTCCAGTCAAAGCTCCGCTCCCGGGCCTGGATTGGAAGCACCAGGGGGCGCCCATTAGTCTGTCCACTCGCCTGTCTCTAGGGCCCAAGCCGGACCTCAGGCCTGGGTGGGGTCCCACCGCTCCGAGCAGCTGCGCGCCAGGCCTAAATCGGGGAACAAGAGGAGCCCCACGTCTTCCCACGCCCCGCCCCCTCCCCAGAGCCTCGCGGAGCCGCGAAGTGCGGAACCACGACACGACATCCTGTTTTTTGGGGCCCGCGCAGCTCCGCCTGCGGCTCTGCTGATGGTGTCTTTTTCCCGGGGTGCTGACGGCAGCTGCCCTTCCCCCAGTCTCCCCACCCTCCCTAGGGGTCTGGGACCTTCCCAGTGCTGAATCACCACCATCCGGCACTCTCCAAAGGCTCAGGGCAGGGGTGGGGACTGCCCCAGCCTGCCCCATTCCCGCTAACCCCTGGCCAGCCACAGCTACCTCTAGATTCCCTCTCTGAGCGGAAGGCATTTCTCAGCCTGCTCGCGGAGGTTGCGGGGCGGGAGATACCAGGAAGAGAGCAAATGCCTAGCGCCTAGCTTAGGGCCTCTGCTGGGGTGGGAGGCCAAGTGAGAGCGGGGAGACCTGACCTTGCGGCAAGACCCGTGGGGTCTCAGGGGCCACAGGGCGAAGGGGAGGGAAACGGGGCGCGGGACTGCCTGGGGGCAAGGCTTGCAGAAGACCCCGGGCCGGGGGGGGGGGGGGTTGGAAGCCGCGGACTTCCTGGTCCGCCCCGCCCCGGCCGGCCCGCCCCCGCGCCCCGCCCCGCCCCGGCCCCGCCGGCCCGTCCCCCACCCCCCCACTTCCTCCGGCCTCCAGCTCTCACTTCCTTCTTGAGCCCAGAGCCGCCGCCGCCGCCCCCAGCTCCCCCGTCGCGGGGAGGGCACCAGGTGAGGCCCGGGCCGGGCCGGTGGGCAGGGGTCCTGGGGAAGAGGAGCGCGGCCGGCTGGGACTGGCTGGGCGCCCGGGAGCCGGGAAGTTTGCAGGAGAGAGGCCGCGGGCGGGAGGTTCTCGCTCACTGCAAGTTGGGCGGGCGCGGCAGGCCGGGCGGGGACAGCGGCCACCTCGAGTCGATCGCTGATGGCTGGGTTGAGGGTGGGATCCTAAGGACAGACAGCGCGGGATGCCGAGAGCCGCGAGGGAGACCTCTGCGATCCGAGCCGTGAGAGGCTCGGAAGTGGGAAGGCGCTGAGCTGTGAGGATGGAACTCTGCGGTCGGGTGCCCTCAAAAGTTGTTGGGGGTGTTCATTAGTGTGTGAAAGAAGAGGGCCTCTGGGATAGAGAAGGCGCGCTCTCTGGCTCCGCAGTTGTGACATTTGTGAGGCTGAGGGGGGCGGCGTCTGGGGCCTCTGAAGCTTGAGAATGTAGAGAAAGGTTTCACCCGGGAAGGTCCGGGCTGGTCTGTAGCTACACTGTTGCTGCAACCCTCAGGAGGACCCTGTGGGGAATCCCCGCTCCTCTCTCTCTCTCTCTCTCTCTCTCTCTCTCTCTCTCTCTCTCTCTCTCTCTCTCTCTCTCTCTCTCTCCCTCTCCCTCTCCCTCTCCCTCTCTCTCTCTCTCTCTCTCCCTCTCCCTCTCTCTCTCTCCCTCGCTCCCTCTCTCCCCCCCCCACCTCTTTATCTCTGTACCATGCAACAGGTATTTAGTGAACATGTCTGTTGTATTTAACCGACTCAATCTGGCCTTGCTTTTTTGTTTTGTTTAGTTTTTTTAAGGATAAACTGAGGAAGGAAAAGGTCTGGATACCGACAGTCACTGATAACTTTAAGAGTCAGCTGTGCTTGCCGGAATGGTTGAGAGCTCTTGGTCTTTCTCACCTGAATTCCACATACTATCTTCCTTCACACTCCTTAATGTCTACCACACATTCGTCTTCTTCCATCTGTTTTCCCCCAACCACATAGATGTACTTAAGCCCCAATCTCACACTTAACCCTGCCCAGTCATTCTCTGCTCGGTTCTCTCCTGCCTCCCATTTCCATCTCTTCTCAGCCTCTGGCTAACACATTTTCCCTGCTGTCCTCTGTCTCCTTTCTTGTATCGGTATCTTTAGCTTCGGTGTCCGAAACCGCTTTAGATTTGAGTTTGGGAGTCTTTTCTCGCCTCTTAGAGATGCAGGTTGCAGCCTCCCGATGATGATGATTAAAGGGCTGGAAACCTGTACAGGCGAATAAGCATGCTAGTTCTAGTGTGTCAACATCTTTATCTCTTAGAGACAAAATAACTGCCCTCAGCCTTGAGAAGGCCCAGAGCAGAAACCAGCAGAGTGAAGGGAACCTGCAGTGGGTGACATTGTGGTTAGTCAGGGGAAGCAGTGTGTAGCAGTCAGGGTGGGTGACACAAGAATGAGACAATAGTGAGAAGGGCCATGGGAAATCAAAACTACCCTGATCCTTAGGTGCTTTAACCAAGAGTTTAGCCTAGGAGTTGGGGGGGGGGGCTAGCCTGAAGGTCCCTGACCTTACTGGTTCTAACCAGTGGGGAGAATGGAGTGGGCTATTTGGTATGATAGGAAAAGGAGGGGGCAAAGACAAGATTCTGGAGGGAAAACTGCAGTTGCTCTAACTTCAGTCCTGACTGGTCTTAAATTTTTTATCAGGAAAGGGGGTAAGAAAAAAGTTTGTCTCTCTTCCCTGCAGCTTTCTGGGGACTGCAGAGGTTGGGTACCTGCATTTTCTGTTGTGTCAGAGCCTTACAGGGAGTTCTGCTGACCCTTTTGTCTTCAAGCATCCTTGATATTTGCTTCTTTTCTAGGACTCTATTCCTTCTCCCTAAGAAATTTCCCCAAAGTCTAACTTAGTCTGTCTTGACCCTGTAAGTTCCTTTCTTCATTCTAGAGCTCCTTCCTCAGCCTTTGGATTACACGCTCAGGGATTTTGTTCATCTCCTCTACTCTTCTGTATTAACTTCCCTCCACAAGAATAAAAGAGAAGTGGAGGGGAGCAAATGCCACAATTGGGGGATCTTCAAGCAAAGCTAAATTTAAGAGCTGGGCTCCTTCCCATTCCTATCCTCTTACCACCTCCCAGTTGTCCCTCCCCATCAATTGTTCCTTCTTCTAGTCTTGCCCTTCTCCACCTGTCTCTCCTACTCTCATTTCTGGGAGGTACAGAGGTTTGGCCCCACGGAGGAAATCCAAGGGATCTGTATTAAATCCCAGCTCAGGAAAGGATGTGCATCCCAGCTTCAGGAAAAATCCTCAGGAGCCCCGATTCCTCGATTGACAAACCAGTACTTAATTTAGTGTTCTGTATAACTAAGCAACCCACAGGGCTCTGAGGGCAAAGATAGGATGGAAGTAACAGGGTTTTTCACTTAGGCAAGTTCTGGCTCCATTGGAAGTTTAAGTTAATTGCAAGAAATATGACCAGGATGAGAGGGTTCTAACTGGAAAAATACCACAGGTGGGGGTCTACCCAAGAAGCTGCTGTGCAAGCCCTGGCTACACAAGTATGGTTAAGGTAATACAAAAAAGTTGTAGGGTAACATTGTTACATGTCCTGCTTAGCAATCTGGGCTTTGGAGAGTTGCTTTAGGGGAGATGGTAAGGCAGATGAGGTGTCTGATAGGACTTATAGGGGGTTATGAGCAGGAAGATATGAGAGGCTGTGGTTATACAAGCAGCTGTGAAGATATTGGATTGATAGTAGCTGGAGAACTGGGAATAAGAAGAGTACCTGGGCATAGACTAAAAGCCTCGTCCTTTCGTGTACAGTGTGGACCTGTTAGAGGTAAGGTTTGTAGGGGTCTGGGAGAAGATCTTTGAAGGGAAACCAAAGACAAAGCCTGGGCCACCTCCCCAGATCAGACTGGTTTTCCTGTCCAGGGTCCAGCTTCCTCTTTTGTCCTCATCTCACATGGGGGGAGGGCATGTCCCCAGGAGCTAAAGGAGGAGCTTTTCAGCTAGGGCAGGACCAGGGTGGCTATCTGTTAGTGCTAAAACAAGAGCACTACAAGATGGGCCAGGAGCTGGGGGAGACTTGGATTTAAAAATAAAAGGATGCAGACAGGTGTCAACTTTACTCTTTTGGCCCATTTCTTATTATTTTAGATTTGTTTATGTATATGGGTGTTTTGCCTACATATGTGTAGGTGTACCATATGGATGCCTGGTGCCCATGGAGGATGTCAGATCTGGAACTGGAACTATATGAACCTGTGAGCTACCATGTGGGTGCTGGGAAGCAAATTAGGGCCTCTGCAAGAACAAGTGCTCTTAACCCTACTAAGTTATCTCTCCAGCCCTCTGGCTCATTACAAAGGAGCATGCTAGGGTCATCTTGAATGAAGTTAAAGGTCAGACTAACAACAGTCTTCATCTTCTCTGCTTAGTGAGAGTAACAGCATCAGGCCAGAGGTTAGGAAATCTAGGCCCTTACTCTCTTGGCTCTACTTCAACATTAGGTTGTAAGTGAGGTATGGTATATACCTTTAATCCCAGTAATTGGGAGGCAGAAGCCAGTATTATAGTCTACATATCAAGTTCCAGGCCAGCCAGGGTGATCTAGTGAGACCTAGTCTTAAAAAAAAAAAAAAAGGAACAACAAAAAAAGATTTGCATTTTAAATACTTCCAAAGGGCACAGTGAATACTGATAGATTTGACTGAGTATAGCAGTGCCTCATACTCAGTCTTCCTGTCTCACCAGTCTTAATCTGTCCAGGGCAGAAGGGTCGCCCCTTATGCAAAGTACAAAGATTGCTGTAGGTTGAGAGATAAGAAGGCAGTGATGCTGGAATTTTGTTGCAGGACTCCAGGATGGGGGTGTATACCCTGCCCTCTGCCCCAACACTGTAACCACTGACAGTGGAAAATAGATGTGGAGTTTCCTCCCTGATGTTTTTTTTCCCTTTTGGAAACCCCCTTGCAAGACATACTAAAAGGACTAGGAAGCCCTCTCTGTTTTTGAGTGGAGGAGACAGGATTGCAAGGTTGGTACTCACAGTCTCATGTGGAGTGAGCAAAAGCAAAGGAAGTGCCACTTCATAGGCCTTTCATGGGGCCCAGAGATTGCTGAGCTGCTTCTGAGTGCAGAGAAGCCAGTATGTGAGTCTTCTTCTGTGCTGCTGGATGGAGGAGGGGCAGCTTGGTTCCCCAAGCCAGAGCTGAGCTGTCCTGTCTCTGGGGCTCACCCTTTGTGGAACACCCTGGGTGTTGGGATGAGCTGTCTCAACCCTCTATCTATGTATGTCCTTGTCAGCTACAATTGGCTTGTTGCTTCCTCCTCTGCAATCCCTAGTAAGTAGCATCAACTCTCTCTTCTCACCCTAGGAACTATAGTGCAAAATCCTTTCTATAGGACCCCAGAGTGTGACAAAAAGGGGAGAGCCCCTCAGTGTAGGATTTTTGTTTGTTTTTGTTGTTGTTTTTTTTTTTTTTTTTTTTTTTTGAGATAGGATTTCTTCCACTGTGTGGCTGTGGCTGTCCTGGAATTCACTTTATAGGCCAGGGTAGCCTCCAATTTAAGAGATTTGCCTGCTTCTGCTGGGATTAAAGGCATGAGCTCAGGATTTTTTTTTTTTTTTTTTTTAGGCTAAGAACTAGGTTCTCTTAGGCTCTTCCCTGCTGATGCTGAGAAGGGGAAGAAAGAGTCCCAGCCCTTGGCCTGGTCCCAGTCCCATACTGACCTCATGTCTCTCCTAGCTTCCTCCTCCCAGCCCAGCTGCAGGCAGCTGCAGCACCAGGGTCCTTGTGTCACCTCTCCTGTCTCTCCTTCAAAACAAACAAACAAACAAACTTACAGTGCCCTGTCCCTGGCTTGGTAGCTTTGGCCAACCAAGTCTAATCCTTAGCTTATCTTCTACTTTTCCTTCCCATTTTCTTCAGCCCCTCTGAGTTACTGTTGCTTGACCTCTCAGTCTTTGAGGTTAAGTAGAGCAATCCAGCTTGTGTGTTCATTACTCTAACTTTTTGTTTCTCTGACTGAGGAAGAAGTTGTCTACCTTTGTCCAGTGTCTTGTGGACATAGAGGCTTTCCTTGTTCCCAGTCTCAATGTCAGGCTTGATGGGGGGTGGGGGAGCATTGTATGTCATGCTGCAGCTTTTGCCTTGTGCTAGGCTTCTGCAAATAAACAGACTGCCTCCCCACAAATCATCCAGTAGTAGTTCAGCAATTAACCGGTCAGTACTGGGAAAGGTAAAAGAGGAGAGGCCTGCAGAAGGTGGGAAACAGAACTGAGCCCAGAGGACAGGAAGAATCTGAAGGGGTGCACAGCACTCATGGGAGATGAGCTCTTGTGTGCAAAGAGGGGCAGATTGAGCTCACTGTTTGTTTTTTACTGACAGCGCCATGTGCTATACTCAGAGAGTCAGAAATCAAGCAGGACTTTGCCCTCTATGCTTTCCCAGTCTAAGGACAAGAGATAAGATTCTGGTCAGCCTCCATACGAAATAGATGGAGACTAGACATTGGATCAGTGAAATCACTTGTGACTTGAATTATGAACAGAAACTTGTTTTTTGTTGTTGGTTTTTGGTTTTTCAAGACTGGGTTTTCTGGCTGTCCTAGAGCTCACTCTGTAGACCTGGCTGGCCTCAAACTCCTAAGTGCTGTTTAAGGTGAGTGCCACTGCAGCCACCACCACCTGGCTCGTCCTGAAATATTCTTGGAGTAGATGGCAGTAATGCTTGTCCCTGCTTAGTATTGCTTGTGTTTTGGGGGTAGACTTTGGAGGTCACTTTGCAAAGGATGGGGTAATGTAATCAGAGGTAAGGTTTGCAATGTGCGTCGTCATTAAGGAGGGTTGCAAAATACTGAGAGATTTGTGTTAGAGAGGTGGCTCAGGAGGCTGTAGGATTACACATACCCATCTTTTAGAGACCATGCTTCCCCTCCCCCACTCCCAGTTGGGACACTTCCCCTGCTCTAACTGCCACAGAGATCAGGCAATCAGGCAAACATCAGTACTTCCTTTTCCTCCCCATTCTGGGCCTGCCAGGGACACACCCCAAGGCCAGGGCCCACTGGATACAAGCTGGACTCCAGGGACCATATTTACCCTGATAGAATAGACTCCATCTTTCTGTGCCCCATGAACATACTAACCCTTTTGGGACCATTTCAAGCTAATTACGTTGTTTTGGGTTTGTTTGGTTTTGTTTTTTTGTTTTTGTTTTTTTTGTTTGTTTGTTTTGGTTTTGGTTTTTGTTTTTCGTTATTCTCACTAAAACTCAGTATTTTAGTATTGTTGGCTGGGGCAGGCTTGAGAGGGAGTCATCCTATTCTTCATAATAAGGGCTGGTCCAGCACATCAAAAAGCAGTGGTTGTACTCCTGTGTGTCTAGCCCTATAAGCTAAGCTTTTCTGTGCTTGGGTTTACAGAAACCCAGCCTGGTACTTAAGGGGATATCTGAGTCACATGGAGCCAGAGCAGAGTTAAAAGGGGTGGCCATGCTATGGAAATGCAGATCAGCAGCTTTATGGCATGGTGAGATTTAAGCTAGGTCTTGAAGAGTCAGGAAGATTTGAGGGGGAAAGGGAATAATAGCAGAAAGAAAACAAGAATAAAATCTGAGATAGACGAATGGATAGGACTTGCCAGGTATGGTGCTGTATGTACACCTTTAATCCCAGCACTTGGGAGGCAGAGACAAGTGGATCTCTGTAATTTCAAGGCCAGCCTGGTCTGCAGAGGAAGTTCCAGGATATACAATGAAATCCTGTCTCAAAAAAAGGGGGGAGCAGGGGAGAATTCCAAGATTTGCTTTAGGACAACATTGTAGATCTTTTTGGAGCAAGGAGCTAGGTACTCATACCAAGTACCTATATCATGCACAAATTGTATATTAATGCACTTAGCCTCTATAGCAACCCTGTGAGATAGTACTGTTGTAGCCCAATTTGAGAGATAAGGAAATTGAAGATTATAGAGGCAATTCATCCTATGTCTAGGTAAGTGGTAGAAATAGGAATTAAATCCAGGGCTAAAACCCCTCTTATATTTGATCAACTTTGAATGACAAAGAGTCCAGGACTGATCTGAATGAGTGAAACTGGGTATAAAAACCTAGAGCAAGTTTTTGTCATTTGCTTATATATATAGATTTTCAAACATTTATTTACTAAACGAAGTTTGTTTTTTAAATTATATTTATTACTAGGAAGTAGAATTCTGGAGGTTGAAACTGGGCTTTTATATATACTAGGCAAGTGCAATACCACTGAGCAACGTTCCCAGCAAAAAGGTTTTTTTTTTTTTTTTTTTTTTTTTTAACTCATAACCAAAATTCAATCCTAGATGCTGGCCTCCTGCAGCACTGACAGTCTTTCCTTCCGATTTGATATAAGTTAGATGAGCCTATGGTATAATTATCGGGTGAAAGGAACTTAGCTGACCCACTTCAGCCAAAGAATTTTAGGGAAAAGAACTGCCTGGGAGCTGGAGATAGAGCTTAATGGTAGAGCAGTTGCCTTGCTTGTATGGGGCTCTAGGTTCAATACAATAACAATGACCAAAGTACTAAAAATAAAGGAAAAGGGAGAGGATTGAGCTCGGAGTGAATAGGGAAAACTAAGCCAATGCTACTACTCACACATGAGCATCATACGCCGTGTGCACAGTACACGAAAGTATATTCACTCTCATGCTACATCCCCACAAGGCCAGGAAGGCACAAGTGTTATGATTCTTGCTATATAGATGAAGAAACTGAGGCTGTGATAAAGAAAGTGACTAATTTGTTCAAGGCCCCACAGTTAGCTGGGAGCCATGTGATACAATGAAGATGACTTAGGACTTTGGATCACAGAACTGAGTGCATGTCCTGGTTCCCATACTCTAAATAGCTGTGTGAGGTTGGATTACTTTAACAGCTCTGAGTTTGTTTTCATCGTCTGCAAAATAGAAGGTCATGAGGAGGATCAAGTGACAATGGTACTATGCCATCAGTAAACACTTGTACCATACAAATGTGTTTTACTGACCAGCAGGTGAGCCCAGTTGGTCAGATTCAGGTATTTAGTGCTCCTGATCATATGCCACACCTTGTTTTGGACACTAACTTGTTCATGATCCTTTTCCGGTGTCAGGCCCTCTTCCCTTGCCAGCCCGGAAGCTATTCTTCCTCCCCACTTCTTTGAGAGCTGGTTTACTGATTGCTGGTTGATAGCCACCTCCCTAGAGAGCCTGTTGTACTTTCAGTCTCTTGGGCCTTATGACTGCTGTCCAGGAATTCCCTCCTTGCCTTCCTGCCTGTCATTCATTGCTGGACTTAGGGGGAGGGGGGATGTCTTTGTTTTTTGTTTATTTTTTGAGACAGGGCTTCTCTTAGGTAGCTTTGGACCTGTCCTGGAACTCCATCTGTAGACCAGGCTGGCCTCAAGCTCATAGAGATCCACCTGCCTCTGCCTCCCAAGTGCTGGGATTAAAGGCATGCACCACCAACACCTGGCCCCCTCAGGCTTTTTTAAGTTATATTTTTTAAGTTAGTATATAAGAAAATAGATTTCATTATGAAGTTTTCCTATGCATGTATCATTGTAATTTGCTGATAATTACCCTTCCTCTCTCTACACTGATGTCCTTCCTCTTCCCAAAGAGTTTCCCTTCTGCTTTCATGTCACACACACGTAACTCTGCTATATATTTAAATTTAGATTTTACATATGAGAGAAAACATGCAATATGTTTTCCTCTGGGGCTGGAGAAATGGCTCAGAGGTTGAGAGCAGTGGCAATATGTCTTTTTTTGTTTTTGCTTTGGGATAGGGTTTTACTATATATCTTTGGCTGGCCTAGAATTGACTAGGCAGAGTAGCTTGATCTCAAATTTATAGTCATCTGCTGCCTGAGTGCTAGGATTATAGATAAACACACCACACAAAGTTGTGTGTATGTGTGTGTTTCTACATGAATGCCAGGTTCCTTCAGAGGCCAGAGGCAACGGCTTCCCTACATTTGGAGTTACAGGCAGTTGTAGAGCTCTTCAAAGTGGGTGCTGGGAATTAAACTGCTGAGCCATCTCTCCAGCCCTGTCATAGACCTTTTACCTTCATTTCCTGAAAAGAAAAACTGAGACCCAGAGGGGATTAAGTGCTTGGCTACAGTGAGTCAGAGGGCTGAGGTAAAACTTACTCTTTGGTCTTCCAGTCTGAGGTTCTCTCTGCTGCCCTAGAGGGCCTTTATTTATGCTACTATCCACTCTGAGGGTCTGCCTGAATACTCAAAGGTTGAACACATGAGTACAAATAAGATGGGAATCCTGTTAATAGGAACATGAGAAGTAGCCTCACCACATAATACCATTTCCCTCCCAGCTAGTCCTAGAAGAAGCTGCAGCTGGGAGGGGACCAGTACCAATGCTTGGGTCCATTGCAGCCCCACAGCACCAAAATTCCTTTTCCACTTCCCAACAAGGGGTCTCCATCATGCATATTGTCTTTAATTTTTGAGGCTTTGGAGCAAATATTGGGAGATCAGACTTGTGAGAGGAGTCCATATGTAGTAGTTGATCTAGTAGATTCTTATATAGAAGAATAAAAATAGCTAGTATTAATTAACCAGGTACTACCCTCAATGTTTTAATTCATACAGTAAGTACATGGAGTCAATACTATGTCCATTTTGCAGATAAGAAAATTGAGATTTAGAGGAGTGGTTTGTCCATTGTTGTTGCTAGAAATAGCAATGGGATTCCATCTTAGGCTGTTACCAGAGCTCATATAATGCTGCAGCTTTGCAGCATCTTGCTCAGTACCTTTCCTTGTTTCTAGTGTTTGTCATGATGAGATTTTGGGATGATGTCAGAATAACTGAACGAGAAGTAGTTTTCCTCTGTATGTCTTCATCTTTTCTTCTCCTAAATCAAGAATGCCCCTTTCATTCTCTCCATAGGTTACTACTTCCAGTGGAGTCCAGAAGAGGGAGGAGGCATTGCCTCCACTCAGGCAGCTTTACACACAATGCAGAGCATCAAGTGTGTGGTGGTGGGTGATGGGGCTGTGGGCAAGACATGCCTTCTCATCTGCTATACAACTAATGCCTTCCCCAAGGAATACATCCCCACTGTGTTCGACAATTACAGCGCCCAGAGTGCAGTTGATGGGCGCACAGTGAACCTGAACCTGTGGGACACTGCGGGCCAGGAGGAATATGACCGCCTCCGCACCCTTTCCTACCCTCAGACCAATGTCTTTGTCATCTGTTTCTCCATTGCCAGTCCACCCTCCTATGAAAATGTGAGGCACAAGTGGCATCCAGAGGTGTGTCACCACTGCCCTGATGTGCCTATCCTCCTGGTGGGCACCAAGAAGGACCTGAGAGCCCAGCCTGATACTCTACGGCGCCTCAAGGAGCAGGGTCAAGCACCCATCACACCGCAGCAGGGCCAGGCACTGGCCAAGCAGATCCACGCTGTGCGCTACCTCGAGTGCTCAGCACTGCAGCAGGACGGCGTCAAGGAGGTGTTTGCTGAGGCTGTCCGGGCAGTGCTCAACCCAACACCGATAAAGCGTGGGCGGTCCTGCATCCTCTTGTGACCCTGGCACTCAGCTTGGAGCCTACCCCTGTCCCCCCACCAGTTGTGCCTTGGCGCCTTGTCTGCTCCCAGCTGTGCCTTAAGGACTAATTCTGGCACCCCTTGCCAGGGGACTCCCTGAATGCCTTTTATTCCTTAAGAAGGTACACAGGGAAAAGGGCTTTGGGCCCCGCCCCACTCTGCTTGGGAATACCAAGTATTCCATGAGTTCACCTAAGCCAGGTTGACCTTTCCAAGAGGCCAACCCAGTGCTGCCTTCCATTTCCTGCTACTGACCAGTTCATCCAGCTTTCCATAAAGTTGTTGCTGCCTATTGTGGTGCCTCCTCTCAGGTTAAGGGCTCTAACCTCTCTGCCTTTGCTCTTGGAGTAGGCTCTCCAAGATATTCTTTCCCTCCCCCAAGGGAAGAGCCACAGAACCCTGAGAAGAAAAATGTCCTAACCTGCCCCATATGCCCAGGCCTTATGTGTCTGCTGACTGACTCAGGCCCCGTGCTCCTGGGGGCCTTTCCTACCCCCATCAGCATCAATAAAACCTCCTGTCTCCAGTGGCCCTGGCTCCTCCCTATGTGCTGGGCATTAGCGGGTGGGCATGAGCTAGGGCTCCCCAGAGACTGGGAACCTTTTGTCTCCTCTAAGAGAGGATAGAAGACAGTAGGCTTCATTGTGGTTCTCTACCACCACCCCTCAATTTCCCTAACAAAGCTTGGGCTCAGGCCATAGATGCCATAGTGGACTAGGATGCAAAGCTTGAGGAAAAGACTTCCTGGTCAAGGCTCCAAACTGGGGTGTTGAAAGCCATGAGTCTAAAGACATGTGCTTTCAGTCATACATTTGAGTTGTCCCCTTTGCCTACAAGGGGACAGGTCTTTATGGCAGGATTGTAGCCAGAACCGGGCCTCTGCTTCCCTCTTAGCTAGCCCCAGCTTCCAGGCTGAGTCATTTCAGAGATAGCTCAGCCACTTCTGTACACCAAAATGGAGGTTGAGGCCAGCCTTAGGAAACATTAGACAGCAGGGGTAAGGGAGACACCACATGAGAATGAGCTGCTGTAGCTTTAATCCCTCCATTGCTCACCTCAGTTCCCATGCACAAATGAGCCCCAGTAGTAACATACCTACCCTGATAGTTGGCAAATGACAAAAAAATTTATTGTCCTTTGAAATAAAATATACAAATAAAAGCTGGGGATCTGGGGCAATAGAGAAAACGAAGGAAAAAAAAAAATCAAGGAACCCATTCTGGAGCAAGGAAATCTACCTGTGACCCCTGCCCTCTTGTCTGAGGGAAAGGTCTTACAAGCATGTGATTTGGGGGGGGGGTTGTTTTTTGTTTGTTTCGTTTTGGAGTTTTGTTTTGTTTTTCTGAGACAAGGTCTTACTGTATAGTCCTGACCTGCCTTGAACTCACTGTATAGACCAGTCTGGCCTTGAGCTCACAGATACCTGCCTGCCTCTGCTGTGCTGGGATTAAAGGCATGTGCCACCATGCCTGAGACTCCATTTTTGAGACAAGATCTCACTGTAGCCCAGGTTGGCATGGATCTTGAAGCAGTCCACCAGTCTCAGCCTCCAATGTGCTAAGGTTATAGTCACAGTTCAGTGTGCCCAAAAAGCTGGTGATTTAGATAGGAAGGGAAACACATCCTATACTTGATGCTTCTGGGCTCAGTCATCTGTCAAGTACAGAGCATTATTCTATCAGATGACCTCAGAGGCACCAGCAAAGCCTTTCCCAAGGCTTACACGGGAACACGATGAGGCTGAAGGGAAGAGTGTACATCAAGAACACCTGGGTAATTCACAGACAGACAACAGCTCTGGGGTGTGCACAGTAGGTCACCAGACATGTTGGTCATGTGAAGGACCTAGAGATAAATGGCTATGATCTTCAAGTAATGGGCCACTGCTCAGGGGTTCCTAGCCTCAGTGAAAAGTGTCATCATAAAGGTCAAAAACTAAAAGATGGTCATGACCCTCAGGACTTTTTTTTTTTCTTCTTTTTTCTTTTTTTAGCACCAAGTGGTGGAGCTTTCCTACCAGCTCAGTTCTTAGGACCTTTCAGTTAGTGGTGATGTTTCCTGAAAATCCTTGGGAGGGTTGGGGAGAAGTCAGCAGTGCTGGGGCCAGCCTTGGCATGCCCATGCCTGCTCTTCTCCCTCAGCCCCCAGCTTGAGAAGGGCCTGGAGAGGACTTGGAGATAGGGAAGGCCAGAGTGGTTGCTTGTTTCTGGGCAGTAGGTTGCCTCTTCCCAGCATCAGAGAAGGGTTTAGAATCTCTTTTCCTCGGGCTGAGAGGTTATTAGGAGCTCTTTGTTCCCAAAGTCCCACCAGGCTGTCATGTGGAACGCCATGTTGGTTAGGACAACAGTGTACTCCAGGATGGCAAAGATGGTATACACTGTTAGGAGGACACAAGGAATAGAATATGATGAACTTCTTGTTTTACCCTCTTACTGGCTCCTTAAACCATCACATGACCAGCCCACCACAGAGAACACAATGACAGCCAGTGCCCAAGACTACTACTGCCTACTATGAAAAAAAGAAAAGAAAAGAAAAACACAGCTGCTCTGTCACTTATGACCATTTACAGATCGTAGCCTGACCTCACCTCCAGCCTCACAATACATGTTGTGCCGGAAATAGACAGCCAGCGCCGAGAAGAAGGAGACGAAGTTGATGATGAAGAGCCGCTGTTTCCAGCTGTAGGACTTGCGATCCTAGAGGATGGGCTATCTGATCATTCTGCAGCTTGTTGGGTACTGCCGGCTTCTTAGACTCAGTTCCTAAATGCTGGGACTACCCCCTTGGTTCCCAAAGTGGTCATGGAAGGGTGTATAGACAGAGGCAGCAAAAATGATGAGCATGTCCACATTCCTGCACTTACGGGGACAATGAAGCCAAAGTGCTATCTCTTGCCCTTCCCACTTCAGTGGGATGGAATAGGAAAGATGCATGAGTTCACCCGACACTTTCAGGTGCTATGGGGCAAAGAAAGGCCATGTATGTGGGTGGGGTTATTATAAACCAGTCCACCGACTGTTTCTAACCCACTGGGCCTGGCTGCTACCCATCATTTTGGCCTCATTTCCAGGCTCTGTGCATTCTCCAGTACTACCCAAATGGTTGACTAGAATAAGTCAACCATTCTCCAAGCCTCAGCCCAAAGCCCCCATGCCCTTCTCCTGGCTTCCTAACAAAAAAGTCCTTAGTCACCCATCATTACCCACATCCTGAGGACAGTTGTCCTTGATCTTCTTCTGGGCTTCCTAGTGCCCAGTAGGGATAGACCGTACCTCCTGACTTACTGTGTGCTTCTTGGTCAGACGCCAGAGAATACAGGTGAGGAGCATGTAACTGAGGGATGCCGCGATAAACACAATGAAAGCGTTTTCGTGGATGGCTGGAGGGAGAAAGGATGGACATCACTCTCACCCTTAGGCAGGAAAGGGGGCTGCGTCCCCTTCCCGTGCCCTTCACCCCTCCCATGTACGGGCACCCACTGAAGTCCTCGGAGGAGGAGACGTAGGTGAGCACGAGCAGCGCGAGGTTCTCCACTACGTTGAGACTGAAGTTGAGGCGGCAGAGAAGGCGGTAACCCGGACACGGGGATGCACAGCTGAGGTAGTGGTTCCAATAAGCGAAGGCCGCCAAGAAGCGGGGTGCCGAATGCAGGCCAATGCAGAAGCGCCACACATAGCGTTGGGGAACCTCCCCACCAATGGCAGAGCTCACTGATGGCAGGTAATTGGGCACCTAGAGAGTTAATTGGGGAGTCTAGGGATCCCCTTTGTCGATCCCGCCCACCAGCAAGGCCTTCTTCCCATCTATTAAAGCCACTCCCTTTTCTTTCAAGTTCTCCTTCTGAAGCCCTCCTGAGACTTCCACTTCTAGGTCCCAGGACTGATGTTCATTCCCTAATCTGTCTGGGATTTGGACAAGGGTAAAGTTATCTCCATCTTTGTTGAAACTGGAACCTGCACATTTGAGCAGGTACGCATATGAGTTCATGTTCTCCTTATGCTGACATCTCAAGGTTGTGCCTGAATAAGGCTCTGTGGGCATCCCAGGATCCCAGGTTTGATTCCTGAAAACCAGGATGAGTCACAGACCTTTGGACTTTACTTGGAACAGTGCTACTCTGCTGAGCTGTTCCTGTCACTGCTCCCAGTGCCATTAGTCCCCCCCAGGCAGGTGCAGCAGTGTATAGAGGATGCTGGGAGTTTCTGAGGGGAGCCAAGAGTTCCAGGCAATCCCTATTGTAATCATGTGATGGTGTTTAAGAAAGTGGGCTCTTCTGTGAGGTAGAAGAGGGGCAGACACCTTTAATCTCAGCACATGGAAAGCAAGTTAGTTCTAGACCAGCCAGGAATACAAAAAAAAAAAAAAAAAGCCTATCTTGAAAGAAAAAAGAAAAGAAAATGTCCCTGTCCCTGTGCACCAATTCTATCCATCTTTCTCGTGCCTGGAACTCCTCATTCTTTGTGGAGCTGCAGCCTCACTCTTTAAGCTTGATGAAAGAGGGGAAGGAACACTCAAAGGAGTGCAGGAGTGCTGTTGTTATCTGTATGACAGGCAAGAGGATGGAAACAAGTGAGCAGTAGTTTAGATGGGGCTGGGAAAGTCAGGGGTGGGAAGAGGATCTCTTGCAAAGTAGTACTTTGCAAACTTTAACCCACATGGACTCACCTGGAAACTGTGACATGCAGGTCTGGAAAGTGAGAGTTGCTTTTGTAAAAGATTCAATACCAGAAGCTGTCAACCCACTGTCCACACTTTCTACAGACTTTTAGACTCAACAACAGCCAGGGAAGTGTAGAGCCCAGATAGTCAGCAACCCTGCTCTAACTATGAAGGGTCCAGTCTTTAGATCTTCAGAAACAGAATTCTGGGAGCTCCATTCCTTCCTTTCAAAGAAGATGCTGAATGAGCCTCTGGACTGCTGGTACAGTGGGCAATGCTGGAGGGACCTTCCAGGGCATGGAGTAGGACGTCCAGGGACCTCGCAGCCTCCACAGCACTGCAAGAGGAACCTAAATGCTGAGTTCTTAGAGAGAGGCTGCTCCAAAAACTGGGTCTGTTTCCCAGCTCTGTCTTTATCATTAGGTGACTTTGAGCAAGGCCCTCCATTCACCTCTCTGAGTACCAGTGTCTTCATTGGTAATAGAGTTATGTCACCTATCTTATAAGGTGATTTATTTAATTTTGTTTAATTAATTAAGACAGAATCTCACTATGAAGTCCCAGCTGGCCAGGCACTTGCTGTGTACACCAAATTGGCCTTGAATCACAGAGATCACAAAGATCCACTTGAGAGTTCTATGATTAAAAGCATTCACCAGTATACCTGGCTTTGTGCGGTGACAGAGCATCTACAGTGGGTATAAAACTGGTGGCTTTCAGAAATCAGGCTTTCATGAAAAGCCTGAGAAAAAGCCTGAGTCACAGGGCTAATGAGTATAAGAAACCAACTTAGAAGGGAAAGGCAGCACATCAGACAGAGAGTGATACCTCTTGCCTTTACAGCCTCTCTGATGCCCTGAGTTGGGTGGTCAAGTAGTCTGAAGACTACTTCCCAATCTCAGTTAAAGCCTACTGGGAGAACTGAAAACATTCTAGGTGGTAGCCCCTGACTAAGAGGAAGAGAAGGTTAGTGACTGTGAGACTGTCTTCACAAACTTCTTTCAGATTAAATGTGAGGCAGGATTTTAAGAGTAGGGACTGTGTCATCAATCACATACAAACATACACAATAATCAGGTAAATATTTCCACTTCCTTCTCCAGAACATCAAGTTTCCCTAATTTACTAACTGTGCCAACAACAACCTCAGAAATTATCAGACACCAGATACACACAGTTCATTCCAAACATCCCCATAAACCCAGAGCTAAAAGTACTGATGAGCAAAGTAACCCCTTCTAATAGAGAAATAGATCAGAAACTCTCAGGAGGAAAGTTCTGCAAAATCCCCTAACCAGCGACTGGAAAGATAGCTCAGTAAAATGTTTGTTGTGCAACCATTAGAGCTTGAGTTTGGGCCCTAGACTCCAGGTAGAAGAAGCCAGGCACAATGGCATGCACTTGTAATTCCAGTGATGGAGAGGCAAAGATAGGGAGATCCTTGAAGATCACTGGCCAGCCAGCCTAGCCAAATGAGACTGTTTTAAAAACAAAGTGGCTATGAGAACCCAAGATTGTCCTCTGGCACACATGCTTTATCAGATTATACCTCCCACTTTGTGTGTGTGTGTGTGTGTGTGTGTGTATGGTTTTTTTAAGACAGGGTTTTTCTGTGTAGCTTCATAGACCAGGCTGGCCTTGAACTCACAGAGATCCACCTGCCTCTGCCAAGTGCTGAGAGTAAAGGTATACACCACCACTACCCGGCTTCAGATTATACTATTAAAGAATAATTTTTTGGCCTCAGGCAAAAGTCACCACCCGCCCCCCCAACACACACACACACACACACACACACACACACACGTTATAAAAGATTATCAGGGCCAGGAAGTGATGGCGCACACCTTTAATCCCAGCACTCAGGAGGCAGAGGCAGGTGAATCTCTGTGATTTTGAGGCCAGCCTGATCTACAGAGCTAGTTCCAGGACAGCCTCCAAAGCAATACAGAGAAACCCTGTCTCAAAAAACCAAAAAACAAAACAAACTAACAACAACAAAAAAAGAATCCCAATTCAGTTTCAGTGGCAAGAGATGGCTCAATGGTTAAGAGAGCTTGCTGCCCTTCTAAAAGGGCTCAGGCAGCTCAATGCCACCTTTAACTCCAGCTCCAGGGGACCTGATGCTCTCTTCTGGCCTCCATGAGTACCCATACTTATGTGCACATACCCACACACAGTCACACATAGAAATAAAAATAACATCTTAAAAAAAAAAAAGAATTCCAACTCACTATATTGCAACCATGTCTAAGGACAGTCTCTTGTGTGAATAGATGCTAAGAGCAAGTATATATTCATCTTCATGCCTCTGACACACAACTTATATTCCTGGTCCCTCAGAAAAGGCCTAGTAGATTGATCTAGGAAACAGGAAGTCCTCCTGGTTTCTAGCTACCCTGAGTGGACACAGGTGTTGGAACCTAGGGCTGCCAGTAGAGAACCATGCTAGGAGATCCCAGAACAGGGATCATTCCCTAATCTGAGCTAAAACTTCTTTTTACTTATCCTGGTTCCTGGTCTCTTACACATCCTTAGTCCCTAGCTTCCTCTAAATTAGTTTTTCTTTAATCTCTTCCTCCTTTTCCTGCCCAATCCTGCCCAGCCCCCTCCCTTCCCCTCCCCCACATGCCCTCACCATGCTCTGCCCCAACTCTTTTGTACTTTCTGTAACCCTCTTTCAGATCCTAGAGTGGTGACTCTGCTCTCAGCGTTCCTGCCTCTAATTTCTCCATAAACCCTCACTTGTCCCCCACCCCTTTTGTCACATCCCTCTCTCTGGCCTTCCACTTTTCTCCTACTCCCTGACTCTTCCTTTAGCACTGCCTCATAACCTGCCCCTGCCCCGGGAGCTGGGAAGCCTGGAACTCACCCCACAGTCAGTGGCCACTGTGTACTCAAAGTGGAACACCAGAGACCAGATGATGCAGAAGAAGAAGCCGAACAGGGGGAAAGTGATGACCCACCAGACAAAGGCTGTGAAGCGGAGCCGGAACACGGTCCCATCGGGGTCCAAGGGTGCAGAGAACATCCTGTAAGGAGTGGTCAGCGCAAGGCAAGGGACACAACTTGGGGCCTGCTAGGATACCTGGGCCTGGGAAAGTGGAGCCTTTTCCAGAGCTGGTATAAGGAAAGAAGGACAGAAAACAAAGAGATGGGACAGGAGTGGCAGACAGACGGGGCAGCACTTAGGAACTATGGCACACTGACACTCTTGACAACAAGAGGATCCCAGGGGCCTGAACACTGGAACTGTGATGGCTTCACTTCACAACCACTACACTTAGGGCAACTGGGAAGGATCAGAAGTGAAAATGTTATTTTCCCACCACACAGAGAAGACAAAGGCCCAGAACTATGTCAAGATCAAGTGCCTGGACCAAAGCCTTTTGTTACCTGGCAGCTTAAGGCTCTAAATTAAGGACCCTTGGTTCAGACTAGCTAAGCCCTCCCACTGACCTGTCTGATCACATTCCTCCTTCTCAGCCAGGTTCAACTAGGAACAATGAGAGTGTCCTAGGCCCATTTCAGTAGAACTACAAGTTATCGGCCACTCCACCCCCAGGCTCTGAATGAACCAAGCCACAGGACAGCAGCATTCTGATCCTGTGGAGGACCAAATGTCCATTCCTTTCCCCTCTGAGAGGACCAGCTTATCCAATCCCAAATTTGGAGGAATATGAGGGTCTTCTGAGCCTTCTCCCTTCAGCTTCAGTTTAGTGTACTGAGTCAAACCCAGGAAGCCTCCATCCAGGTTAAGCACAAGCCCAGGAAGCTGGCCTTTTCCCACTCCCTTTTCCCCTGTCAGAAAGAAGTCCCTCCCCACAGACCCTTTGGCCCTGACAACCATGGCTCTTCCAGATGGGCTCCCTTTTGGGGCAAGCTGGGGAAAATAAAGATGGCTTTTGATTAAAGGGCTTAGACAAAATCTTTCCTTGGATCCCATACTTCCTCCCGTTAAGGAGGAAGTGGACCCTAGTCTACCAGACTAGCTCTGCATCAAGAATGGGGTGGAACGAAAGGCTGATCAAGAAACACTCACACAGTGCCCAGTGTTGGTGGCACATGCCTTTAATCCCAGCACTTGGGAGACAGAGGCAGGCAGATCTCTGTGAATTCAAGTCCATCCTGGCCTACAGAGCGAGTGCCAGGACAGGCTCCAAAGCTGCACAGAGAAACCCTGTCTCGAAAAAAAAAAAAAAAAAAAAAAAAAAAAAGAAAGAAAGAAAAGAAACACTTACACGGGGTGCTGAATGAAGAATCCTGGGCTGGGATTGAGGGCTCCAGCCAGACTGAAACTGCTTCAGACCAGAGGGTCCCACCCCCGGGTCCTCAGGGCCTGCCCTCCGCCCACAAAGCCAAGTTCTCCACGCCTGCCCAGGCACACAGCCTTCTCAGAATCAACAAGGCCACCTCATAAATCCCAGAACACTGAGCAACTGTAAGAAGTGATAGTGACTAAGGTCAGCCCACTGGCGTCTTTGCCAGGCATGGAGGCGGAGAGCTTTCTAAATATTGTGTCCAGGGGAGACAAGTGCCTTTTTAGAAAGGGAAAAAGAGAAAGAAGAATGGCATCTGGCTCTTTTTGACTGAAACATGACTGGGAATATTTTTTTTAGTGCACTAAGAGAGCTGCACTGCATTAAGAGAACCAAAGGGCCAGAGATATGGCTGAAGGGTAAATGTACTTCTCAAGCAGCCTGATGACCTGAGCTAGATCTCCAGAACTCATGAAAAGATGGAAGAAGATAACTGACTCTCAAAGTTATCCTCTGACTGCCACACGTGTGCATGCATGATATGTGCTTGAGCACACACACATAAAACAGTAAATAAAATAGAATCAGATCAGAGTTCTAGAATACAAAGTATCAGTGTCCAGCCTGCATTTGTACAGAAATAGCTAATGGTAGCTTGGGCTGTATCAGCAGAAATAGGGATGAACAGTATTGCTTGTGCCTGTATTGCCTAGACCTGCTAAAGTCCTATTATCCAAATCTAGACCCAATTCAGTTACCAACTGGATTGAGTCCAAGACATATTTAGGGCTGTAAGGATCCCATAAACCCTATCCTGGGTAGGTTACTTGCAAAAATTATAGCTATGCTGCCAGGACAGACTTAGGGGGTCTCCATTACTGTCATCTCTGCAGGACCGATGTGAATCTAGGAGGAGAGCAAAGCTCTATAGTTATCACAGCAAAGCCAAGACCAGAGCAGATAGTTGGGGGGAAAAGTCTGTAGTGCATGCCTTCAATCCCATCACTTGAAAGGATAAGGCGGTGGATCTCTGTAAATTCAAAGTCACTCTGTTCTATATAGCAAGTTCTAGATCAGCCAGAACTATATAGTGAGACCCTGTCTCAAATAAATAAATAAACAGACAAATACTCCCTCCAAATCTATATTTACTATAAAAAAAGAGTGTGCTCACTGTCAGTTACTAAACCTCTGTAGAACAGGTTCCCTAAAGAAGGGAGCTCACTGTTACTTGGAATATATAAGCAGAGGTGACATCAGTAATGATGGTGTATTATGCTAGGTTACTTATTTTATTTCCAGGGTTGGCCCTTCCTGGGATATTCTGGATAGGAAATTCAAAACATAAATGAAAAGCTTCAATTGTAGTCCCAGGGAATGGGGATGAAACTACTCATGCTCTAGTTCCCTAAGAGTGGGTAGTAGGTATCAGGTAGGCTGAGGTCATTGGTCCCGTTAGCCCTCAGGGCCAGCCAGAAGGGCAGAGCCAACAGCCTACTCTGTTTAACTTATAAACTGCAAAACCTTTTTAATTTTGTTTGGACTATCGGCCTTTCCCAAGTCACTAGACTGGGAAGTCCTAATAATCTACTCAGCAAATACTTTCTGACTCAGTGTAATGCTTCCTCTCATGGAGATTCCAGTATGGGGAGGAAGACAGATACAGATAGAGAATGAGAGAAATGTGGCAATAACACCAAGAATAATAGGCAGTCAGAAGAGGGAATTAAGTTTGCCTCAGAGAGGCTAGGCAAGGTGTTCCAGAGGAGGAAACACCTTGGAAAGGATTTTCAGGATGGACAAGAGTTAGGTAATGGGAACACATGCTGCATTATCTTAGGTAAACACTAAGGCAGGAAAAGATCTTAGATCACCTAGCTCAGTGGTTCTCAACCTTCCTTACATTATGGTGACCCTAAATCATAAAATTATTTTGTTGCTACTTCATAACTATAATTTTGCTACTGTTATGAATTGTAATGTAAATATCTGATATGCAGAATACCTGATATTTGACCTCTGGGGGTCAGAACCCACAGTCTGCGAATCACTAACCTAGCTACTCTCTTTTTTCCTAGTCCTGTTCCTCCTATTTATTTTTTTCTTAATTAGTGGAATGAGACAGGGTTTCACTCTTTAGCCCAGGTTGACCTTGATTTCAAGGGGTTCTTCCTACAGCAGCCTCCCTACTGCTGGGATTACAGGCATGAGCCACTACCTCTGGCTTCCTTATCCCTGATTCCTTATTCCCTCTGATATCTCTCAGCAAGCTGTGTAACCTCACTCAAAGCTCATGTCTACAAATCTGAAAAAAGTTTTTCAAGTCATACTCAACAAAAGAAGTGAAACCTAACCCCAAACTCCTAGATAGGATCCTCTGCTAGACTTAGACTTATGGACTGGATGGTTTTCATACAAGAGTCAGGATCATATGAAGGAAGTTGGTGGGGGCCGTCAGAGCTCTCTCTGAGGCACTAAGCTCCATATCCAGGCTCTGCCTCACCTGGGGCCCTGCCTCTGTATCTCCTGACTCACCTCCTAATCTTACAGTCTCTTATTCTTTCTCATTCTCTTCCTCCTCCTGTTTTCCACCTTTAGTACTCACCAACCCACCTTCCCATGCTGTCTCTACCTTGGAAAGGAGCAGGGCTGGCACCATCAACCTCTCTGTACACATAGAAACTGAAGCTCATTGGGCCTCAGGTAGTTCTGACACTCAAAGAATGAGGAGTATAATAGATGTCAACACAGTCTTACCCCATTTATTCTGGTATTTTATAGAGAAACTCTCAAATCTCTCTTCATAGCTCAAGCACCCTCAGAGGGCATGGAACTTACCCTAGAACACACATTCGTGCACATAACTAGGTCCCTCCAAAGAGTTTCTCTCACACACACAACCCTAATTGAAGCCATTAAATATAGGCATGTCCCTCACAATCACAAACAGACACATACATATACAAAATCGCATTCCCACAAATACAGGCATAAGCCACAGAAACACACTGCAAGACCTACACTGTCCTCTATCCTAGTCCTATCCTCCCCACATACTCCAGGAAACCTTGGAGCTCCTGAATCTGATCATCTATGAAGCAGTGATTGGACTCTGGGTTTTATTTCTTTGTTTTTAAGGCAGAGTCTCTCTATATAACCCTGGCTGGATCAGCAGTGAGATAATGTAGGGTCCACAAAAAGCCATATATTTCAATGCTTGATCCCTTTCTATCTGGAACTCACTATATAGATCAGGCTGGCCTCAGAGATCCATCTACCTGCTTTTGCTTCCAAAGTGCTGGAATTAAAGGCATGAACCTCGAGGCATGCCCCAGGTTCTGGATTTGGGGACTGACCAACTTTAGTGACCACAGTTCCTAGGACCTTTATGGAAAGTAGAAGGAGCCTAACTCATGAGACTTTAATTTACCCACCACCACCCAGCAACCCAGTATATTTGATGGAGCCTACAGGAGAGCTGGCTAATTCCGTTAACACCAAATCAGGGTTTCAGAAAAGGCCCAGACAGGTCTGAATATGAGCCACCGGTACCCTCCAAGCCCTACCCCACAGTGTGTAGATGTTGTCTCCTTGAAGTGGAAGAGCAGGGACCAAAGGATGCAGAACAAAAAGGCGACGAGTGGACAGCAGACCGTGATTAGGGCCACCATGGTAAAGCGGAGCCGGACTAGGGTCCCATCTCGGTCCAGCGTCAGTGGAACTTGGTACATCTTGTCAGACCTGAAGATGGAGGGCATGTTGTCAGGGTCCCAGGCAGCAGGGCTAAGGGCTCACTGGTAATACTAGCACGAATGCTCAATCCAGAACTTAGCTATGCTATAGGGTAGGGAGTGTGAGAAGACTCCTAAATGTTTACAGTTCCTGTCTTGGATAAGGAAGACTGGCTTGGAATCCCAAGGCAACACTCAACTTCAGTTTCTGAGGAAAGACAATGAACTTCATCTATACTAAGATAAAGCTTGAAACAGACTGCACAGTCTTCTCCTCATGCTTCTGCCTGGCTAGACAGGCCTTACACTACAAACCAAACTTAAAACCAGCTGGTAAACAGACTAGCCCATGTCCCCCAACTCTCACCCCTACCCCCAAGCCTCTGCCCCAGCCTCTTGGTTCATGGCCTTTCAGTTCTCACTGTTTCACTGAGCAGTGCAGGGCCCTGCTGCACTGTCAGGCCTTCCCAGACTCTGGGGTGCTATATGCAGGCACAGCAATCCAGTGCAGCAAGGACTCCATGGAAGCTGACAGAACCTCCATCCCGTGATTGTCCCTGCCTGCTGCCTCACGTGTTCTAAGGGTGAAAGGCTTTGCAGAATCAGGCCTGGTAAGAGCCTGGGCTTGCTGTGTGTAGGTCAGAGCTGCCTGGTCAGCTTCTGGTGGCTTCCCAGTGCCCAGTGCTTCCTGAGAAGGGGTGGAGGTTCCTAAAAACTGATTTTTCCCTCAGACAAGAATACCAGCCAGTGGTGGCTCACACCTTTAGTCCCAGCATTTGAGAGGCAGAGGCAAGTATATCTCTGTGAGTTCAAGGCTAGCCCAGTCCACATAGCAAGTTCTAGAACAACCAGGGCTCTGTTACACAGAGAAGCCCTGTCTCAAGAGAAAAAAAAAAGTTTCTAAGGAGAGGCACTGTAATTCGTAAATATACACTAACAACCCTAGTCCAACCCCTCTCAGTATACAGAAGGAAGGGAAGCTGAAGCAGGCTTCTACTCAGGATCAGCATTGAAGAAATGTAGCTATATATTTCAACTCTGATTTCCTTGATCCCTTTCTCTCTGGACCAAAATTCTACACAGGAAGGTCAGATTAGGACAGGAGTGAGCAAAGGACAAAAGAAAACAAACATGCCGGGCACAGTGGCGCATGCCTTTAATCCCAGCACTTGGGAAGCAGAGGCAGGTGGATCTTTGGAGGCTGGCCTGGTCTACAAATCAAGTTCAAGGACAGCCAGGTCTACACAGAGAAATTCCATCTCGAAAAACAAAAAAGAAAAAGAAAACAAATACTACATACAATATAGATGAGCCAATCTGCCTGTTTCCATTGTAAAGATGGAGAAACCAAGAGGAAGAGAATCTCTTCTTCAAGGCTCAGTCATTCCCAGTTTAGGTTTCTTGGTGCCAAGCTATAGCTGGCTCCAGACACTAAAAAAAAAACCGGCCCTTCTGGTCTCAAGCCATGACTCTTTCTGGCCCCACCCTTAAACAGAACTCTGAGCTTGAGCTGGCCTCCTAGCATTCCTGAAACAGGTGGCCACACCTCCACATTTTCACTTACCTTCCCAACCACCTCTCTGCCAGCCCAAGTTCTCAGGTCCTTCCTTCCCTTTGGGGCAATAAATGTTTGGTCAAGCATCCAGGAAACTGGAAGTGGCATTGATTACCCTCCTACATCCAACCCATTCCCTGAACAGGGCCCTACATAGGCGCACTTTCCCCATGCAGCCCATACCTAGACTGTATTTGAAATAGATTTAACCAGTCCTCCTCCTAATCCCCTAGGAACCTTTGGGCTCCTCTAACAGAAGACCAGATCTTCAGGTTGATCAGACCTTACCCCAGGAAGGGACGATGAGTTGGTTCAAGAACAGTTTCAGAAACAAACAGAAAGGATATTTGGTTCCACTTCTTGGCTGTGTGCCTGGCCTCCCTTTTAGGTGTGTGACCTTGGACAAGTCACCTAACCATCCTGGGCCTGTTTCAAATTATACAACAGGAGGAAATCACAAGGTTTAGATTACTTGTAAGGTCCCTCCAACTTGGTCCCTGCTTCACATCTCAGTTTTAGGAGTAAATTACCTGAAGCTCTGCTCCTAGACAGCTTTCACTTCTTCACAGGTACTACTTAAGCCAACTTTGTTTTATTTTAGTGTGTTTGGTGTAAAGAAAGGGTCTTACTGTGTAGCCCAGGCTGGCTGGAAACTCCCAATCCTCCTGTCACTGTTTTCCTGTTGCTGGGATTACAAGCACCACATAGGACTCTGAAAACTGCATCACTTGACATACAATCTCTTTTAATCCTATCTATTATTCTAGGAGTAGGTGCTGTCCTCTGGGTTCCCATTTCACAGAAGAGGAAACTGAGCCTTGGGATGGTTAAAAACACTTACTCAAAGCCACAGGCTAGTAACTGGCAGAGCTGGGATTCAAAACTAGACTATGAGGTTCCAAGGCTCCCCCACGCCTCCATCCGCAGAGCCTGGAGGGATCTTGAGCCGGAGTCCCTGCGGAGTAAAGGCAGTGCTTAATCCCAGCATACCTAGCCCCACCACAGAACTAGCAGAGGAGGTTGGCTCAGTGTCTGGAAGCCTACAGTTCCCGGGGTTCCGAGTGTGTGCACAAGGCGGGCAGGCACCCGGACTACAGGCCTGGGGAGGCCGGACTTCGTGGCGGGGCTCCCCGAGGTGACCCTGTGTCCCAAACCGGCTATTCTCTTACTCACCCAAGCGGTGGTGGCTAGGGGGCCGGACCCGTAGGCAGGGGCGCGGGAACCTGGAGCCCCCGCCCGGCCCAGGGGGCGAGTAGGAGGGGGCGGGTCGCAGCAGCAACGTGCGGGGCGGGGCTGGCGTGTCTGGGGCGGATCTTAGAGAGGAAACTGGGCCCGTATCTACACTGGCTCCTCCCCGCTTTGGGGACCGCGACCCCTGGCTTTCCTGACCAAGCTTCTCTAGGAATACTCTGTCCCCACTATTTTTGCCTGCGTGGGAACAGCCAGAAGGGCCCTGGACACCTAGTTTTGACATGTTGGATAAGTCACCTTGTCATCTTACCTCTGACTGCATGCCATCACCTGTTGAAAGAACATAAAATTAATTCAGTAGGACCTACATTTCTTTCCCTAGTCTTCCACCCTCATTCTAATCGAATTATCCAGTTTTGCATTTCGTAAACATTAAGCCAGTTTTTCCCCAGCCTTGGTGCTTCTCCCTCAAACTTTGCTCCCTATGGCCGGTTACAGCCTACAACAGAAGGATCCGGGAAAACAAACAAGAAACCCCACAGATACCACCTTGCAGGTAGTAAGATAGATACTGTAAATCTACTACAAATCCTGGGCCAAACCTGTTCCCGCATTCTATCAGAAGAGGGCGCCCTATCCTGTCTGACAGCTCTAGTGCGGGGGGTGGGGTGGGGTGGGGGGGGGGTTGAAAGGATGAGGAGGTGGAAGTTCTGCTGGTCCCAACTGAAAGGTTCTTCATAACAAAGAGAAACCAGCTCCCAGTGTTCTTTTCTGACTGTGGTCTGGCCTAGATTGATCCATAAAGAGGAAAAAAAATCTCTGAAAAGATTATCCTACCAAAAAAGGAAGGAGGGGTTGAGGAACTAAGTATCTGTTTCTCCTCTAGGCATCTTGGGGATTGCAGATACAGAACTTCTGAGCCAGTTATCAGCACTTAAACCCTACTTAAATTCTCACAGTAATAACATGTTTTGGTATCCTCTATATCCTAGGTACATTTCTACTGTTAAGCTTGCTAGCATGTGTCTTTAACCCACTGAGCTCCCTTTTCCTTTCCTTCTTTTTTTCCCCCTTTTCTTTTTGAACAAGGTTTCAGGCAGTCTTTGAACTCACTATTGTAGCCAAGAACAGCCTTGATCTTGAGGAAAGTGTGTAGATTACAGGTATACACCACCAAGCTCACTAAGCTACACAAATTTATTTTTTTGTGTGTATATGATGTACATCATGTGTTTTTATGTGGTGTGTATGTGTGTGTGGCCTATATATGTCATGACTTGTAAGTGGAAGTCAGAGCAAAAATTTCAGGGATCAGTTCTTCTCTTACTACCATGGTTTCCTTCCTTCCAGAGATAAATCTCAGGTTATCAGGCTTTCATAGTGTTTTTACCAGAGGAGTCTTCACAGCCCCAAAGCAACTTTCCTTGACTGAATTCTCTACCATGTCTTAAGATTTCCAGAACAAAAAGACTAGTACCATTTTATTAAAATGACCACTTTTATTTTGTTGTTGTTTTTGAGACAGGGTTTCTCTATGTAGCCATAGCTATCCTGGAACTCACTCTGTAGACCAGATTGGCCTTGAATTCATATTCACCTGTCTCTGCCTCCTGAGTGCTGGGATTAAAGGTGTGTGCCACCACCACCAGGCAAAAAATGACCACTTCTATCCAGTCTCTGCAACTAGATTTGTGTGTCCTGTCTTGAGGCTTCATGTCTTCTGTAGGTTGCACCCCAGTAGTGCCTACTTCTTGCTCTTGTTCCTTATTTTGATTCCTTGACTGTTCCTATGGCCCTAAATACTGGCTCTGGAGGTTGGGTCCTTCAGTTTCCAAATTACTACCAAAGTCTAGCTTGAGGGTGTAGACTGTACAGTGTAGACCATTCACCTCAGAGTTCTGAGTCTGTTCCTTTATCTGTAAAATGGCTTAAGGGATATCTATATCACAGTGTGCTGTGAGAATTGAAATAATATAGGCAGGCACGGGGAAAGTACCCAATATGTGAAGGCTGTTTCAGCTAGAAACACAAGCTACAGTCAGAACTTATCCTAAGCCTTCTCTGACCTCAGTGGTCAACAAGCCCCTCTAAATGTATTTTGGTCCATTTGGTTTATGGAAGGAAAAGCAGACAAGTGTGTTCTTACAACATGCCAGTGACTTTATAAATACTCTTCCATTTGCTCCTCTTAATAATCTGGACAGGTGAATTTGGTGAAATCCATCGTTCAGATAAAGAAGCCAAGCAAACAGGTGTGGTGGCACAAGCCTGTAATTTCAGCAGGAGGGAGGTAGAAGCAGGAGGACCAAGAGTTCAAAGACATCATCAGTTGCATGGCAAATTTAAAGCCAGCCTTGACTCTGCCTCTAAAAGGAAAGAAGGAGGAATGTAAGTGGCAAGATAGCAAGGTATTCACTGTCAAATATGACAACTTCAGCCATTATGGTAGAAGGAGATAACCAGCTCCCATAAACTCTTCTGACCTTCACACACAAGGTGGGTACTTGCATGCATATAGACGCGTGCGCGCACGCGCACATACACACACACACAAAATATTGTGTAAAAAAAACATTAGAAATTGAGTGAGCAATTAGGGCTCCAGTCTCCCCTCAACCAGCAGGCATTCAGTGCTTCCTAACTTGGCATTTTTCCACTGTCCAAGTAGCTGCTGCTGTTGATATTTTCTGGTATCTCTTGTTCTCCTGTAGATTTGTTTATATCTGGAAATACCCTAGACAGGCTGTGCCTTAAATAGCATCATCAATGTCCAGTTTTAGCCAAAGTTACTGTTCAGTCTCCCTGTGCACACCCACATACCACACCCTTTCAAGCAGACTCAGTGTTCATAAAGATATTCCAGCATCCAGTAGCAAGGAGGCAGTGTACAAATGGGGGGGGGTAGATAAAAAGGGAATATAGAATGTGTCAAGAACAGCTCTGTGAGGCTGAAGAAATGGCTTAGCAGTTAAGGGCCCTATCTGCTTTTCCAAAAGACCTGGGTTTGATTCCCAGCGTACACATGGTGACTCATAACCAACTGTAACTCTGGCTTCAGGGAATCTGAGACCCTCTTCTGCCTTCCTAGTGGTTGAACCATGCACATGGTACACATAAGTAAATGCAGGCAAAACATCCATCCACAAAATAATAAAGAAAAGAAAAAGATATGTCCTATAAAATTGCTTCATTGTACTTTTTCCCTACCACTCTCAAATTACAGCTGCATTGACTCATTCTTTTCTTTCTATTTATCTATCTACCTATTTATTTATTTATTTATTTATTTATTTGTTGTTTTTCAAGACAGGGTTTCCTGTGTAGCTTTCAAGTTTATCCTGGGACTTGCTCTGTAAATCAGGCTGGCTTAAAACTCATTCAAGGCTAGCCTGGTCTACAAAGTGAGTTCTTGCACAGCCAGGGCTACACAGAGAAACCCTGTCTCAGAAAAAAAATTATTTTTATGTGTACAAGTGTGGATATGGCTGAGTTTACGTATCTGCTATTTATGCAGAAGCCCAACATGGTCAGAAGATGGCGTTAAATCTCCTGGAACTGGAGTTGTGAGCCATCATGTGGGTGATGGGAACACAGCCCAGTCCTCTGCAAGAATAATAACCATAATGGAGTAATTGCTCTTAATCACTGAGCCACCTCTTCAGCCCACATTGTCCCTCCCCACCTTTTACTTATTTATTGGCAGGCTCTCACTTTTAGCAGTGGCTGCCCTGGAATTCACTGTGTGGACCAGGCTGGGGGAGCTCATTGAGATGTGCTTACTTTCACTTCCCCAGTGCTGGGCTTAAGGTTTGTAGCCCCATGATTTTTCCCTCTTAAAACACAGACCTGACCTTGTCCCTTCTTTGCTGCTAACCAATTATTTAGTAACTCTCCATAGCTTTTATGATCAGGGGCAAATTCCTTAGTATAGTGGTCAGCAGTTTCATATCTGGTCACCCTCTACTTCAGCAATTACATTTTGATACCCTAGCTTTATCCCCCTCGTCCATGAAACTTTGATCATCTGTTTTATTTCTACAACCTATGGCCATCTGCCTATCTTCCTACAGCTGTAATATTATATATTGTCTACCACGCTTTTATTAGGACTCTGACCACAAAGTAGCAAATGACTTCCTTGTCTATTGCCCAGTCTAATTTCAATCACCTTTCTGGGAACTCTCTTACTTTTTGAGATAGTTTCAATCTGTGGCCCAGACTGACCTAGAAGTTACTATACTATATTATAGCCTAGGCTGACCTCAAACTCATAGCAACCCTCCTACCTCAGTCTCTCAAGTATTCAGGAGTTAGTTTAAGAAGGCAACCCCCACTTAATTGATTACTTGATCTTTCAGCCTAGTGCAGGGGCAGGAATAAAGTAAAAGTGCAGGAAACATTTGATGTAATTAATTGAACTGGGCTTTAAAGAATGGGTGTATTAAAACAGATCTAGCAGCACTTTAAGAATTTCAAGATAGGCTTTTGGAGAGCAATTGATAGAGGCTGTGATGAAGGGAGGATGGCTGGGGAGGAGGCAAAAGAGACAAAGATATGGGCAATGCTAAAAATCCAGGCCAATTCTGGCCCTGCCTTGCTGGAAGCTGTAGGAAAGCAAGTTCATCCTAAGCTGATGAGGAGTATTGCTTTTTCAAGATATCTTTGTCAAAATCAAGATACCCTCCTTGGATGGTTTTGTCTTTTTTTGTTTTTGTTTTTTTCCGGAGCTGAGGACCTAACCCAGGGCCTTGTGCTTGCTAGGTAAGCCCTCTACCACTGAGCTAAATCCTTAACCCCCTCGGATAGTTTTAAAGTCCACATTCTGGGGCTGAGGTGTAGCGGCATCTAGCCTTGCTTTTGTGTTAGTGGCCTATCCCTTTGGGAGACTCTAGGGCTAGCTGATCAAAGAAGAGGATCTTACCTCCATCCTTGAGGATGTGACTTTGGGCCCAGCTGGCTCATTCGGTAGAACATGGGACTCTTAATCCCAGGAACATGGGTTCATGCCCCAGATTGGGTACCAATTTGTTATGGAATTTCTTGTCCCGCCAGTTCCTGCCGCTGCTTCATCCCCAAATAAACACACAGACGCTATATTAATTATAAAACTATTGGTCAATGGCTAGAGCTTCTTACTGGTTAGCTGTCTTATTATTAACCCATTTCTATAAATCTATGTATTCCTACATGGTCTTGGCTTACCAGAGAATGCCAGGACTTGTTACTCCTTTGGTGACTGCATGGCATCCTTTCCAGTCTCTCCCTGCCTACCTTCCCCAGAATTGTCCTTGTCTTCTAGTCCTGCCTATCTTCTTGCCTCTACTGGCCAA